TTTTTTTTCCATTTTTATTTATTTATTTAATTTTTTTAAATTTATGACTGGAGTAAAAATCTTCCTCTGTTTCATTCACTCCTCTGCTTCGGGTTTATATTTGTTTCTACTCATGTTCTGAGTGTGTGTCTACATGTATTATTTATTCTGTGCATGAGCGACTGGACAGTAGAGAAGAAAGGCACAAACGAGAACTCAGACCAGGCTTTAGGAGACGTTCTTCATCTGGAGCATCATTTAATTCCACATTAGCTTCCTGCAGCACCCTCCTCTGGACGGCGGTGGACAGCTGGTCAGCCTCCATGTTTCTCCTTCTGGGTCACATTTTGCAGGACAACGTGCACAAACAGCTTCTGTGTATGAATGAAGACGCTGCTGTTGATGGTTCTGGTGTCGTTAGCGCGTGTTGAAAGTGCTGCAACAGATCCGGGATCAGATCAGAGTGTGTTCAACCAGATTAACTGGTTTACAAAACGCCTCGACTGATTAATGAAGCAGTGTTTCACTAAAAGGTTTGTCTTTCTTTTGTAATTATGCTCATATTTGACGAGCAGAAAAACCTTTTATCTCACTATAAACCCAACAAAGAGGCTTCATTAAATTCATTAAAAAAGAAAAACAGTTTTGATATGATTGCACCTTTTTTCCAGTAATTCGTTGAAGCTCCCAGACGGTGAACACCATCAGTAGGCGTGGTGTTAGCTCACCGACATGTTTACATCCTGTATGCCAGATATCTGTAGGTAACGAAGACTTCTTCAATAACTACATGTTCATCTACATGTGGTTGGTCCTGAAAAGACAATATGACGAATTTATTGAAGCTGATTTTCACGTTTTGAAACAAAAACCGTTTTCGAGGAACGGTTCTGAAGGAAGTTTGGTGTCTGGACGGTGCAGAATAAAGCACTTTAATTAATACGCTGCTGTTAATGAAAGCAACGAGCCTCGCTGAGAAAACAACAGGAACCTAAAATCACTGTGGGAGTGGGAGTAGTTGGGTTTAAGGAACGTTTCCACCAACTGGCTGTCAAATCAAAAACTTCTGATTAATTTAAAGTCTCTTGGAGTTTTTTTTGGTCGATATCTGATCAGTTTCCTGCCTCTGGGGTCTCCAGATCAACCAGACGTAATAATTAGCTTCTCCTGAATCAACCATGACTGTGGCTTCAGATTAAAGCTTAACGTACACGTTTATATTTTGCTCTTACAGTGAACGTGCTGCGTTCTATCGTCATATGAATTACACGTGAGGCATATTAACCAGCCTGCAGACGCAGCATTTCAGGCTAAAAAACGCCCTAATTGCTTTAAAATGTTGGACAACAACAGGATTTTCCCGGGTTTCCTCCTGGAGGACGGTACAAAACGGTTTTATGGTGTGAAAGTGGGTCTTGCCGTGTCTTAGGGCAGCAGGATAAGTGGTAATCCCTCGGGTGGCGCTCCGTTGTAGACTACAGATCCTATGGAGAGCTCCGGCCGCTGACTCAGCCTTGGTGATTCTTCCAGGGGAGCAGACTAATCTCTCCAAGTACCTTCCTCTGTCAGCGGTCCAAGCAGCTGCCGCTCTGCCTCTGGATGCCCTTCCTTTTGCAACAGCCCCAGTCCCTGGTGGCATCCACGTCTGTGCTGGTTTTGTGCGGTTTGCAATGTCATGCAGCTATTTCTGACTGAGAATAATGCTCATAACTCCTACTTTCACTTCATCTGAGTGATTAAAATGCGTATGTTCTTGTAAATACGGCTTCTTGTCTTGGATCCAAAGGAGCGGAGCTACAAGGTGTTCACCCAGCGAGTGAGAATCTGCTGGAGTTTGCATTTATTTAATTTGATCCTGACTGCCAGACTGCAGCTGGCTAGCTAAGTGCTTTGCCATTAAGGCTGTGTTCTGTGTTTAATTCTGCTCCAGCGCCGGGGCTTATGGGTATAATGGCAGGCTGCATACCGCCTGCTCTCCAGCAAACGTTTACTATCTCGCGCGCTACCTCGAGAATAAGCAAAGAGCTCCTCTGTGATCTCCTTAATTAAACTAATGGCTCCAGTCGCCCGACCTCTGATTCCCTGTGTTCTCCGTCTGCAGATTTATAACGAGAAGAAGAGCCAGTTTGAAATCAAGAGGAACAACCCCAAGGACTTGGTGGAGAGGGTGGCGCGGGACATCTCCAAGCTGCTGATCAGCAAGAGGAAAGCCCTGCAGGTAAGAGCGTCGTGTTGTACGCATGTTAAAACACCTGTACAGAAACACGCACCGCCGCAGCACACACGCATGGAGGTCCTCTGACTTCTGTGGAACAGGAAGTTGCGCTTCATACATTTACCGTAATGTCCGGACTATGAGCGCACCTGAATATAAGCCACACCCACTGACTTTAAAA